ACTAATTAGTTCTATATTTTTTGAAAACTCTGTATTGATTAGGGAATCACTTGGGTTTTGGTTTTTGTTTTGTTGAGAAGAACATTAGGAACTTAGCCACTAAAAATTAGTACATTAAAAGTTGATATTGATTTTGAGGTCACATATCTTGATTAGGGTTTTTTTAGAGAATTTTTGAAAGCTTAGGAAGATAATGAGGGATATGTTGCACTCCAGAAATCAATGGACCAATGCCCATCCAAATATCATACCTAACATCCACATCTCTACCACTACCTTTTTTTTTCTTTTGAAAGTGAGTGTGGAACCTATGAGAAAACACAGGAATCCACTGAGAAATTAAGAATCTGCATGTCTAGAGGCACTGATGAATTTGATTTCACATCTTTTTGTATTTCCTCTGCTATTGTATTTGGCTCTTCTCTAGTTCATAACTGTTCATTTCTTTTTCTTTGATTGTGGTCTTTTTTTAGAAACATATTGATTGGGATTTCATTTTTTTTTTTGTATTTCAATCCAGTGTATGTATGTCATTGAATGTTTACACCTCTGTTTTTTATAAGCCGAGAAACTGTTATAATTAAATAGTTTTTTTGTTTTGTTCATGTGTAGGATGACTGCTTTTTGTTATCATGACCTAGTTGTACATTACTTAGCAAATCAATTTTTTGTGAAGAATATCGACCTTAACAAGTACTTTTATTTGGATATGTTAAGTGATGTGTGACGTGACTTTGAAAAGTATTCCCTCTAGCATAAACACTTCTATAACATTGATGTGTTCTATTCCTGGATCTATTTAAGAAATTGATATAAGAACGGATGCAAATGTCCTACAGATGTTCAAGTTACACAACAAGTGTGCAGTGATTCAATTGTATATCAAAGGTGCTCAGTTTCAGCGGCCATTAGATGTGCAAGTTCCTAATCCTCAACCTTTTAGGAACGCAAGAATTCATGGTGATGAGGAAGAAGTTGGGGCTGAGGATGAAGAGTACAAATTTAGTGATGATGATGGGTGGTGTGTGCACACTAAAAGTGATATTAGTTTGAGTGATTTGGAGTTACTGGATACTGAGATAGATATTAATGATATGGAAGATGGTGGACCTTTATCAGACTATCAGTCAAATGATGAGGGTGGCCAACATGTAGATTCTAATGATGAGGATGATCATTGCGACTCGTGAGGATGACCCTTTGGATGATTCACTTCATGGTAAAATATTCAATGTTGGGGAAGGTGAAAAAATTGAATTTGAGAAAGGAATGTTATTTCCAAACATCAATGCCTTTAGAGATGCGTTAAGGGATTATGTGATTCTGGAGGGATTACCATTGGTCAGAGATAAAAATGAAAGGAAGAGGATAACAACACACTGTGGTGTTGAGGGGTGCCCTTGGAGGATACATGTTTCTCTCTTGTTAGTTATGCTTACCTATAAGATAAAGATATATAACTTTATCCCTAGTTATGTTAGGAATACCAAGCCCAAGGAAGCAAATGCTCCATGGATTGCCAAATGTTGAGAGCTAATTCTAATGTGACATTGTTAGGAATGAGGGAAGAATTGAAAAAGTATGGAGTCCAACCTCCCAGTATGCAATTATATAGGGCAAGAAAGGAGGCTCTAGAATGGATTCAAGGTAACCATGGTGATTCATAAGGAAGGTTGCCTACATATGCTCATTTGGTGAATCAAACAAACTCAGGTAGCATTGCCAAGATCCATTACGATTTGCATAACTTGGCAGTTTCTCCATCTTTCAAGAGAATCTTTATTTGATTCTCTGCTCTTGGGCAGGGTTTCATGAGAGGATGTAGGACTTTCCTAGGTTTTGATGGGTGCCATTTGAAAGGGCCTTACATAGGTGTGCTTTTATCTGTGGTTGGACTAGATGAAAATAATGGTTTGTTTCTAGTTGTGTTTGCTATTGTGGAATTTGAGACAAAGGAGAGTTGGTGTTTTTTCTTCGAATGGCTCAGTGAAATGTTGGATGGGTTCCAAGAGGTTATGTCATTGAATTTCTTGACTGATAGACAAAAAGGTATTACCTTTTTGGTAGTTCTTTCTATAGTTTAGTATGTACTTATTATTGACTAATGATTTTATTCTACGTATGCAATTTTTGTGTACTTATGCAGGGTTGCAAGGAGGCTATTAATCATATTGTGCCACATGCCTTTAGTAGACATTGTTGTAGGCACATTTATAACAACTTTAGGGCCACCTTCTTTGGGTTACTTCTAAGGAAATTGTTCTGGAAGGCTGCAAGGGCATACACACTACAAGATTTCAATTATGTCATGCAGAGAATTAAGGATGTGAAGCTTGCAACATTTGCATGGCTTCAAAGGATGCCTACCTCAATGTGGGCAAGGCATGCCTTTGATACTTCTGTGAAAAGTGACCATGTGACAAACAATTTGAGTGAGTCATTCAACAATTGGGTTGGTGAGTTGAGGGAAAAATCTATACTAACCTTGCTAGAGAGTTTGAGGGCTAAACTTATGAATAGGTTGCAAAAAGGTTTGAAAAGACATGTACTTAACCTAACTCTGTGACACCAAAAACTATGGAGAAGTTGAATGCTGCGAAGCATGAATCCAGAAAATGTACTCTCTTGCTTGCTGGTCGTGATGAATTTCAGATCACAGATGGATCATTTCATTATATAGTTGATATTGGTAAGAAGAATTGTGAATGTAGGGTATGAGACATCAGTGAAATACCTTATAAGCATGCTGCTGTTGGCATTGCATATAGAAGACAAAACCTTGAGTATATTTGTGATCCATGTTATTATAAGGAGACATACCTCAAGGCTTATAGTGAAATGATTCATCCTATTCCTAATGTCAAGTTATGGCCACAATTAGGTGACATCTTTCCATCTCAACTGTTGCCACCACCATTAACAAGACTCCTCGGACGGCCAAGGAAAACTAGAAGAAGAGAGGTAGATGAATCAAGCCCATCCACTTAGTCTAAAAGATCTTGCACTGTTCGATGTGTAAACTGCAAAGAGTATGCCCATAACAAGAGGACTTGTCAGAGAGGTCTAATAAGGATAAGAAACGGCCAAAGAAAGAAATGGACTTTGGATGTGAGTGTAAAATTAGGTTACTCGTATGTTTTATTTCATTTTTAGCAACTGGTATGCTAGATGCTTTTAAAATTGATTTGGTATAGCTGTTACTACACTATAACATGTTGTTTTACGATGCTTAGTCATAATGCTTTCAAGTTTTTAATACTTTAAGAGACTTTAAGATGTTTAACTATTTAATTCTTTAAGATGGTAATGCTTTAAGTTGCTTTAGTCATGCTTTAATAACAGATTGAAGATTCTTTGTGTCGTTGAATTAGCATTAGTCATGTTGCATTCTAATGTTTTATGATGCTTTGTTGGATTATTTGTGGAAAATGTTTTCTTGAGATGCTAGTTTGGTGGGCAGGGAACTGAAATTGTAACTGGAATTGCTGCTAGTTGTGGGCAAGGAAGTGTGACTGCTGCTACTAGTGGTGGGCAGGGAGGTGTGACTGTTGCTAGTGGTGGACTTAGAGGTGGATGTGGAGTTGCTGCTAGTGGTGAGCAGGGAGGTGAAACTGTTGTTTGTAGTACACAGGGCTTTGAAATTGCTACTTCTTAATCTTCTCAAGCTAATGTAGGAATGAAAGGTTTGGAAGCTATGCAAGGCAATAAGGTGTGTAAATTCACCTGTAGTTTTTTTTTTTTTTTTCTTGCATTCATCTATTATAGTTAATCTTGTATCCTATACTAAAATTTTAATTAAGCTATGATCGTAAATTGTTATTTAACATTTGAGTAATAATGTGTTGACATTACTAATTCAATTTGTTAGGGACGAGGAAGGAAAAAAGTAGGCCTTCGAGGACCAGAGTAGCAAAGACAAACACTCAAGAAGGGAGTAACAAAGCTAGTGAACCTATTGCACCTAATGTGGCAGTGGACTTTGAATATACTATGTTCTAAATTTCTTTTTAGTTAGGAAAGTAACTTTTGTTGTTGGCATGGTGTATTTTGAGTAGGCTGAAGCTTTTGTTGGAAGTGCATCTTTTGTATAGTTTATTAGAAATGCTAAGGTGATGTTTTTTGGATGCTTGCATTGTTTTTGGTTCCCAACAATATAGTGGATGTAAATATGTTGACATTGGGAATTATTATCAATGCTTAGGTGATGTAAATATGTAACACAAGTCATGTGGCTTTTGATATGGCACTCCAAATGATTTGAACAAATTAACATTGGGCAAAACAAAAGGGTTATATGGGAATTATAATTGTGTATTAGATGAAATCATGTTTTTTTAACGGATCTTTAACAGAGACTGACGACAGGGGTTTCTTTGTTACAAGTGCACAAAATTAAGGGGTGTAGATGTAATATTTCAAATATAAGGGGATCTAAGTGATTAAGTGACAAATCTGAGGGAGTCTAGATGTAATTTATCCAACTTAAATAAAAAATTGGAAAAAGGTAAACTGTGTTGGATTTAAATTTCATAAATTAATTAAAGTCTACAAATTTATGGCTACCTCACTACCTAAAGCCCATATAAGAGTAATAAGAACTCTTATATGGATAACTACTCCTAGCACTATAAATAGAGGTCTAAGTGAGGAGAAGGAAAAGAAGCCAAGGAGTGAGGAAGATCACCGAAGCTCTGCTTAAAGTTCACTAAAGCCTTGCAAATTCATCTCCGGGAAGAAGAACACACTGCCAAGGTCCTTCTTCAAGAAATCCAAATCATCATCAAGCCATTTCAAACGAAGAACGATGAGGAGATTCATCAAAAGCATCATCAAATTGAAGAGCGGGAGATGCATTGATCCAACTTTCATTTTCATCAAAGTCACCAATTGAAGAGCGAGAAATACGCCAATCAGGTCCTCATCTTCACCAAATTCATCATTTTCATCAAATTCACCGAGAATTAGAAGATAGTGCACATGAGAAGCACGCCAAAGAGAGTCAACATTACATTTTTTACTTAAAGTCAATTAAATTGACTATTGTAATTTGACCTTATTTTGTGTTAATTTACACCACAAAATTTGTCGTTACAGATACAATCACTCATTTTCCTATGTCAATCTGAGCAACACACGGGGGGATATGGTTTTACAAGAATTTAAAACAAGATCACAATTGATATAAAGGGCACAAAGTTTTCGACTTTGACAATACATGGTGTACCTTTGACGCATGATCCAATTCCATGAGCTTGTCATACGGCGTCTATCAACTGTTCTGTATTTACAAAGCCAATCTCTTGTATCAAAAGTATTCTGGACCAAAAAAAAAGGTGAAAGAGAAACACACCTTTGTCAAAAACAAAAGATAAAAATGAAGGTCAGTCAGTCCCCAGTATACTTCATCTTAGTCGAGTGCTGGCAGATGTGAACTGGGTGTAGAGAAAAATCCCCATGCATATTCAGCAGCCGCTCCCGGTTGCTACAGATTGGTTGAAAGAGCATAACCATCTTCTGCCCTCGGTCTGAGAAGTTGAACGTCTAAAACCAGATCTTGAGCACCTAGCCAAGTAGTTCCGCAAGCTCAGATCAGCATTTCTGGGAACCAAGGAAGGTGTAGTTTCTGGAGCTTTCATGCAAAGACTAGTGCTGAATTTCATTGATGGGAATCTTTGGCAGCTCAGGGAGCGGAAAGAAGACCCAAGAGGGGAGATTCTGGCACAATGGAAATCAGGCTTGCAAAATGGGGTTTCTAGGGAAGCGGTTTCTGGCCCTTCGGCTGAACAAGTGCAAAATGATAGGGATAAACTTGTTCTTGCAACCTCCTTAACTATTGGCTTTGTGCTCTCAAGCTTGACAAATGAAACAATCCCGTGCCGGCAGAGGGGGCAGCCAATTGAGCCAGGAGGACCATGAGCTACAGTTGAGGTGCTGTTTGTGGAACATAGGTATAAGGCACACTGCGTACAGAACTCGTGAAAACAACCTGCAAAAAATGTGGCATCTTAAGTCACTCTAGGTCGGTGAATGATGGATTTGCAAATGGCTACACCGGTCCATAATGCAAAAGAAACATGAATGCACACCAAATGGTGAGGAAAAACATTGAAGTTTGGCAATGTTATAATATTTGAGACTTCAGGCTTCAGTATCGTCATTAAAAATTAAGTATATGAGCATTATTTGATGCTACATGTGACAGAATATAAAATTTGAAAACCGAAAAGGGGGAGGTTCAGGACAAGGATACAAAATTTGACAACCTAACATACGTTAATTTCTCAAGAATTAATTTTACAATGTATTCAGCACCAACACTGCTGATGCACTAACAAAACTGCTAATACCACCAGCAACATTGCTATGATGATGAACCAATTATTGCTATGCAACCCATTACTCCTCTACTCCCTTATTGATCTACACTGCACTGTATTGCAATTCTACTGGTGCCGTCCAATAGGGAGCCCCCTCTGTAGTTCAACTAAATCCATCAATAATTTCTACATTTATCTTTATTGGAAAGAAGAAAAGGCATCAACGAAAGTTTCACACACGCACACGCACATAATATGTTCTAATCTTCCTGATAACCAAACAACGTAGAATTGGCAAAGATCCAAAACAATTGCCAACTTCATTTGCACTAAAAAGAATTCAGAGCATCAATTTTATTGCTCTTCCTTCCAAAATAAAATAACTTGGCTGTGTTTTCCTACAAGCTACTGGGAGACAGAAATAAGAATCTTTCTGCTGACAGTTTGCAATCTTTAAAGGGAATGTACCTTCTGCAGCTACTGTGCACTTTCTTTCCAAACAAACAACACATGGGTCCACACATGTAGGGAGGCATTCTCTGCTTCTCCATCCACATTCTCTGCACATGACCAAAAATGGAGATTTCAGTACGATCGTTACTCGTCCTTCCAGACAATAAACTTGGCAGTTACTTGCATTAGCTACCAAAAAAATATTTTTAAAAAGATGCTTCTGCGTAGGAAAACAGTTTTGATGAAAATTACAGCAGTCACATACTTCAGCATTAGGACACCATTCATTAGCCTCATCAACATAGCTATTTTAATCTAAATCCACACCGCAGTAACATAAGCATAAGGACACCGGCAATCACCCATAATATGTTTGAAAACATAGCACATTTTACCAATAGCTCATGACTACACTTATCAAATATTATTCCTGCAAGTAAATACATTAATTACATATACTTGTTGAGTAAACAGGAGTAGCTTCTCATACTCGTTGAATAATGAATGGTGTCGGATACATTTGCTGAATTCCCATAGGGATAACAGTTTGGTTCTGAAAATCTCAGAATTAAGAAATGAATTTAATACATACAATTTAGCAGTATTTTTAGACAGTGGAATCTTCTAGGCCAATGGACTTATCAGAGAATTTTTTGGCTCTGAATGACAGATCTATTGTAGAACTTCAATAAATATTTCAAAAAGACAATAGTTAAAGCTGGTGAAGTCTTTCTGCCTAATTTACCACACTAAGTTTATAACTCTCTAATTGATGGACTTCAAGAGAAGAACATAACCAATGGTACTCCTTACCTTGTGAAGGCTTTGCCTTCTTGAAGTCAAGAGTTCAAGCCCCCTTCCCTCCCGCTCTCCCCAAAAAAAAAAAAAAAGAGAAGAACATAAGCTTACAACCCCCAAAATGATGAAACTTAAAGAGAAAAGTAAACGCAACAATTTATCGTGTCTTACGCAAGACGAGTGAATGACTACGTAGTTGGTTTTCATGGTTCTCTTCACACTTACACAAGTTACCATCATCAACACTACAGCTTTTGTACCTATTGACCCTCCCAAGAATCAAACAATTGAGCTTAAGGTCATAGGGTAAGGAATCAGGTGTCTATGGCTGTTTGGCAAGAATCAATACCTCAGTGATTACCACCTAAAACGTAAAGACCAAGGGCAAACAGCAGCAACAATTTCTAGTACCAACAAAATGCAACTACAAAAGATCACCACAAGAAGAAGAAAACAAGGTATATCTTCCATTAATCCATTAATTTTTTCAACCTCTCCAATTCATTGCTTTCGTGTATAATTGTAAGCCAGAAAATGCATTTTTGGTATGATTAGTTGGACTTCAAGTAAATTCTGATGCAAGAAATCATAATAGTCTCTGTGAGTTTTCATTTTCCCTCGACAACATTGCACAGTCATTGAGTAATTTGACAAACAGAGAAGACACTGACACTCCTAAAGATAAACAAAAGCATAAGCTGAGCCTCAGAAAGTACTCAAATCCATTTGAATCAGAAAGCAGCTGACAGAAAAAACAGTTACAGGCGTGCAAGATGAAAATCTTAAACATAGAGTACAGCAAATACTGATGCAGCAATAGCAAAAAAAAAAAAAAACAACGCTGATGCAGTTTTGTACACTTTGATCATCAGAGGGAAAATATGTTCACCTAGCAACGTTTACAATGCTCATAAGAGGAAGACATAAATATGATGAAGGAAGAACTCGTTGTTGGCACCGTTGCCGTCTGCTAAGAATTTCCTCAAGCCAATCTCTACGCCATGAACGAGCAACCATCAAGGGAGTCCACCTTGAACATACAAAACAAGGATATGCTAGACAATCATTAATGGATCAACTGAAAATTACAAAAAGGAAAGATGATACAACATAATAGAAGTGTGCTTTATCTGAATGCCCTCCACAAAGAAGAATCTCAACAGGGGGACTTGGATGGCAGTTTAATGTCCAGTTGATAAGAAAATGATGGACTATATAATTAATAAGGAAAACCCACAACATATGGGTCCCAAAGGAAGACATATATACACATACACATGCCCATGCATATCTGACCTGCTAAGTCTTTTGACCTAATAGAATACCTCCCATTTGTAAGACTCAGTCTGACATGACAAATGCTTGTTTGTACTTGTGTAGTAATAGGACATACAACAAAGAGTAACTTGGATATAAAACATCAATGCTCTGACAATTGAATTTAGACAATTGTCGATGCATGAGAAGATTCAGAGAGTGGCTACGTTCCAGGAAGCAGGTTACAAACATGCGCAACTCTGCAAAAAAAATGCCGAGGCCCTAAACATATAGCCACAAAACAGTTTCTACAGACTATATGCTTACCTTATGGTAGGGGCATCAGAGTTTTGAACAATGGTAATAAATATGATCACTGTGTAGTTCCCACAAGATCGCAGATTGCTCCAGGTATAAAGGGAGTTCACATTAACAAAAACATCTTTAGGCATAAAACAAAATATTTACAAGTAAGAAAAAAATTCTTACGACTGATCAAAGAAAATTTTTGTGAGTTCACCAGTATCAGCCAACTCCATAGACGGGGATTTACTTTGTGAAATCTACTAATATCTACTCCTTTAAAAAAAAAAATTCTTTCTTCTCTTTTGGGCGAGAATGTTGAAGAGGAAATTTTGTTTCTTTCCGCACATATCACAGTCCATCCACATATGCAAAAGTAATATTACTATGAACAGTTTTCTACATTATTCCCCGAATTATAGCATTAATATTATGCAGGAAAGTTGGATGTAATTGATCCGATAATGCAGGTTCGAGTTCTGCCCGTGACTGAATTCCACTGCTTTAGATTCAGTCAAGTTGTGGGGCTAAGACTGTTTGCATTGGAAATCAAGAAATTCCTCTACCCTCGCTATCAACTTAAACCCCCTCTACTCCAGGTCTCAGATCCCCATTTGACTATTAAGCAGCAAGCCAGGAACACTGGTACTCAATAGATAGGTGATCTAACTGATGCCCAATAATACGTAAAGTATACAAAGAGTGCATGGAAAACCACAAACTATTCAGCAAAAAAGAATTATTTTCAAACAAAGAATAATTTCTTTGTTACTTTGGATTTGAAGTTAACTTGATATACAAATATAAAATAGTGAAGCAACAAGAGCAAAATATGACCAAGGATTAAGGAAAAGTCTGGATGAAATAGCTCATCAAAGTAACATGAGTGACAAATGACTTGCATACCCATTTGAATTTTCGGCAGTAAGACTGGCACCCCTGGCAATCAAAATCTGAGAATATGGAAATCAATGAAACTTCAGCACACTCCCAACACCACAAACAAATTCAGATCATTAAAAGGAAACATACCTGACAACACTGCGCATTTCCACCACATGCGGCATAATGAAGGGGTGTGCTTCCTGCCCCTGCAAAGTGACAAAGACACCTCTACATAATAAAATAACAGATGATATAAAATAACCAATCTTCATTCTTTGGACCACAGTTTACATAGAATAGGCATACTCCATCAAGAATTTTGAAAAATACTTATTAGTTAATTTAAAGAAAAATCTCTATTTTTTTTTTGGTTTTTTTACTGTTCACAGCCAAAACAAAAATCAAAGCCACAGATTGTGAATAAACTAAAAATACTTTTAATCTTCTTTTTTTTTTTTGAGAATGTTTAGCTGCAAGGCAAAAGCCATATGCTTTGAATAATTTATCTGGCACCAAGAATATGAAAAGCATGCGTCAACAACACTGTCCTTTATTTTGGCAATAACAGTTGTAATGACAGAAATTGGGGAAGTTATTTGCCATGGAATGGGAAAAAGCCGTTGTCCTAAGTTGGTCCTGCACATGAGGTGCTAGCAGGAGTGACTGGTAGAACAACTTAACCTTCATCATTAATGCACAACTTACTTGTCCTTAGACTTGAACTCCTTGCTTTTAGCAATGAAATTAGAAATCAAGTAGCATATTAAATTTATCCTATTCTCTTCTGTTGAATTGAGCAAAAAATGTCAAGGAAGCACTAACAGGAGAATATAAAAAACAAAAACTGCATGAAGTGCTTGATTTTCTGATGAAAAGATAAGTGTAATAAACAGGTGACTGTGCATGTTGGAGGCCTATAAACTTTACACTATAAAAGGACTCACGAAGAACTAAACTGAAATGTACATACGAACAAGAAATGGATGGCAAGATCAGTCTGCAGTTCAAAAGCTTCCAATCTTGATAAACAGAACAAGAAGGTAGAAAAGAAACTAAGCAAGCTGTTCTTATCTAATCGTACAATGGGGTGTACAGACGATAATAATATCAAATAAGTATCTCATGTGCAACAAGATCCATGAAACTTCCAATGACAGAAGCCAAAACCACAAGGTCTGAAAGCCAATGGATCATCATTATATGCCAATTGGGGGGGAGAGAGTGCATGACCTCCTAATAAATTATGCAAAAAATAAACGCCTTTTACTACGAGCAGCACAGGAGCCCTGGGTTGCTTTGGAAAGTTCAGACACTTTAATATTGAACATAATAAATACAAATATATCTTTAAGCAAGGCAGCTCCTTGTGTTTAATTATACATTCTCAAACCTGAGAGCAATAGTTGATACAAAAAAGTTATGGATGCCATATAAATATCTAGAGTGGCTGTCATGCATACGAGGACAGTTGCAGCTAAGGTGTTCCAGACCAACAACTTCGCGTCTGCCTTTGCATTTGGTTAGGTAAGCATTCAAACACAAACATGGCATATACATATATATGTTGACAGCTTGCAATCTATAGTATAAGGAACATGCGAAACAAAAAAAATAGTAGCAACAATCAGGAGGAATGAGTGATAAATTTTTTTAGAAGCTGAACAAGTTTGTAATATGATAATAACCAACATCACAAAGAAAAAACCATTAGAGCAGAATGCTATTGTTGGTTATTTAGCAGCAGGAATTCAAGAAAAGGACTAAATGAGCTACCTATTAAATCAATTGTAGTCCCATCTTCCACAGTGACCTCGGCAGCAGAAGCCCCCAAGTCCAGAAGTAATTGCACACTTTCGACATGCCCATTCAGTGCAGCCATATGGAGGGCAGTGATGCCCCCATCGGCAGGTCTGTTTATGACCTCATAGAGTGCACTGGTGCAAACAAAATCATATGAAAAGCAAATTAGCATACTTTTTTTTGGAAGCTGGAAAGACATTTATAACAATTTACAAGCAGAATTTCACATGAGGTTACCCTTCATCAAATTCTAAAATAGAATCTTCATTTCTTGATCTTTTCCTTAGGATACTGCAAAAATTAGGAATGCTAGGAATGTAGTCAGCAAGGGTTAGCCGCATGCATCGAGAATGACCATTCAGAGCAGCCAAGTGGAGTGCAGTACCCCCATTGAGATAATCTGCTCTGTGGATCTGAATCCAATATCATGTCTTTTAAACCATTCAATGCACAGAAATGCAGCAATTATACAAAAGCATTATAAATACTCATACATTGGCTCTGAATAAAACCAGAGTCTGAACAACCTCCCAGTGACCATATTGACAAGCTTGCATCAAAGCAGTCTGTTCATGAAGAAACATAAACCATTTTTTAAGTTCTTTGATATAATGTTTTACTTATAAAGCAAGGTTTCAAACCAATTGATATTAATACAAATTATTACTAGTTTGGAATGACAATGAGAGACAGATGAGAAAGAACTACAACTTTCAATCACATAATTAGTTCTACCTGTCCCCGATAATTCCGGAGATTGATATCTACCCCCGATTCGAGCAAGAGAGAGACAATCTGAAGACAAGAAACACACAGCCATTGTCATCATACGAGGGTTGCAATACCTGTAAATTCACATTATCATATCCAAAACAAGAAAAAACAACATGAAAGTTCAGGGAAAAAGTTGTCACTCAGTCTTTCTCGAGATATACTTGCAAGATTAAACTCAATTCTGAGATACCTCATGGTGGCCTTGAGCTGCAGAATAATGGAGGGGCGAATTGCGAACACCAAAAGTAGAATACCTTGCAAGGCGAGGATTATACTCCAATAAAGCCTTGGCTTCTTGGAGATCCCCATCTCTTGCAGCCGAAACCAAGCGCTCCCCAGATGCGGAGCACCCAAAGGAATTTCCAACAAGACTTAAGAACCTCATGGTCCTCAAATATCATCACCAAAAGAAATGAAAGAAAAAGAAAAAAAAAACTAAAAAAACAGATAAGGACTTAATCTAGCTCCACATATAGACGTAAGGAATCTATCCAAAGAGCTTTATTCCCCAATCCTCAAATCATTGAAAATCACATGAGAAATTGGAAGGAAGAAAAAGAAATTCTTCTATCTGCTAAAAATTCCTTGTTTTCCACCAAACTTGTAACCACCATCCTTCTTACTTTCACATACAGAGAGAAACAAATTTGTTGTAACTGATGTAAATTATCATAAAGAAAGGTTGAAACTCATCTTAACGGCATAAATCCAGTTCCAAGTTGATCATATTCAATGCAATCTGATCGGATTATTGCAATAAGTTCAAGAAACCCAACTACAGAATTAGGAAATCCAATTCCTTTTCCACAACTTGCTTGTTTGTCATATCAAACTACCCAGAAACCCACTTGCAATTTTCCCTCAAAACTCAAAAGCTTCAATAACCACTCCTTAATTTTCTCTCAGAAGTCAGATTCTCCAATCCCAGCTCCCAAATTTCCCGAGAAACACAAAACCTCTCATACCCACGTCCAAACTTAAAAGCTAACTAATTTCTTTTACAAAAAAATTCAGATTCTTGAATAAATGATCAACATTCACCTCATGACTTCCCTCAAAATTTAATGCCTCCAATACCCGCTTCCTAATATGCTCTCAAAAGCCTGATTCTCCAATAGCCACCCCCTAATTTTCCCGGAAAATTCAAAACCTCCAACACACATTTCAATGTTCTCTCTGAAAATCCAAAATCCCCATTACCCAACTCCGAACTTCCCGGGAAAATAAAAATTCCAATTACCCGAATCACATGTCGACAAACCAATTCAAAGTTCCACCCCAGAAACTCAAAATATTCAATACCCAGAAAGAACTGGGAATTTTCAGCCCAGTGAGATCAAGACCAAAAGAAGACTATGAACCATCAGAGCTGTCAAAGGATGTTGAATTAAATGTCTAAATGAGTTGTTAATGCTAAAATGTCGGTAAACAAACTCTGATATGCCCTTAAAAATAATGGGTAAAAGTATAGGAGTGTTATTAGGGACACCGCCTTTTACAGGGAACCTTAAACCAACAAGCCTGCAGGGAAAGCGTGCATTTCATGATTGGATGTTATTCTCTAGTCAATTTTGGTTGTTGGTTTGTTCCCTCCTCCCTCCTCCCCCCGGCCCCCTCTCTCTCTCTCTCTCTCTCTCCATGTACTCTCCTTTGCCTACGGTTTACTTTAAGAATGTGCAGGGAACAGAGTGGTTTATATACCCCGTAATTTTGTGTTTATCCATTCTGATTTTTATTTTTAGAAGGAGTTCTGTTACTTTTTGTTGGTGAGACATTATTAGAGGAAAGGATGGGAGGACGAGGGGATTCCAACCATTGATCTTGAGGTTCTAAGAACGGTTAACATTAAGACAATTTCAGTGTAAATAAATGATGTTGATAGATTTTCCCCACCTGAACTAGCTAGCTAACTCCCATAGTTCAAATACAGTGAAGTTAGAATTAGGGTTAATTGCAAATTCTAAGTCAAAATATTTCAATAATTTTAATTTGTATTTTCAAAAGATAAAAAATTTTAATTTATATTCTCAAACATATTATTTTGTATTAATATTCACTCAAACTAACGGCCGTCATTTTGTCATCTAAAATTAAATAAATAAATTATGTCTAGACTCCCTCATTTTTAAAATATTACACCTACATCTCTAAAGAATCCAAATATAACTAAAAGTGTTCCCCTAATTGAGCATTCAAATAATTCTTTTTAAATGATGTACCACGTTGGATATAAAGAATATTATATAATATAAGCACTTTTGAATATTATATAATACATGTATTATATTGAACATTCAAAGGGTAAACTTGATTTTAAATATTAGAATACAATGAACCCATAAAATAAAGGATAATATATAAATTATAGTTATTTATTAGGATGATATTATATATTTTTAACGAATATTAATGACAGGTGTTATGTATTATAAACGCACAAATGTTAGAGGGTGTAATTGTAATATTATAAATGTGAGGGGTCTAGTAATTAAATGGCAAATTTGAGGGAGTCTAGGTATAATTTACTCATTTAGTTTTAAATCGCAAACTGATAGCTATTAATTTCAGGTACACATTGATATAAATTTATATATATAAGAGTGTAAATTGAGATTCAAAAAATCTTTTAGAGTGTAATTTGAGATTAACCCTTTAAAATTATTGTACATAAGTTTTAAACACGATTATTTGTCCGATCTCTATCAATCAATATTTCCTCTTTCAATTACTTGAGTTAATCCAATTAAGAATCTTAAATCTTTAACGATCACATCTATTTGACTGATGGGGGATATTGACTCTATGGTCGCTTTTCATTAAGCTTCATGCCTTTGAAATCGATCGAACAAGGTCACATGAGTACGCTTTAAACCAATTTGTGGCACGAAATACGATTACATGGAAGTAAAATATTACACAGAAAAAAATATATTTTATATTAAACATTGGAGGACAATGTAGAATCTATTAATCTTATCATCTAAGAGGAAGGTTTGTTAGGGATTAATCCTAAAAAAATTAGGATCGATGAATTTATTTTGAGTCAACCCCATTTTGAAATTATGATTGAACCAAATTGATTCGTTATTTCACTACAATATCGAAAAATCAATTTCTTAATCCCATTGAAAAAAATTCTCAAAGCATGCCTCAACCCTATAGTTTGTCTTCAATAAAAAAATAATAATACTACAAAGCTTTATGTGTCAACAACCCACTTGGTTAGGTTATGATGATGAGCTAAAAAGATGTATATTCCAGGCAGGCCAAATGCAAGGCCTTTAGAATCTGTACAACTTCTATATATATTACTTTTTATCATAGATATTCGTTTTTTTTAATATCTTTTTTTCCAGATAAAATGGTTCTCCACTAGAATGATTAAAATATTGAAAGTTTATTTTTCCATTAAACCTACTCCAATAAGCAATGCTATAAAATATGGTTGTGGTTGCAAATTGGGTTCGTCACCAAATCATCCTGGACTGTTGAATTGTTTTTCAGAAAATGACCAGAAAGAGAGAGGTGAACAATACATCTAACAATCATAATAAAACATGGCTTATTTATTGTTGTGTGGACTAAGATCAGGGCAATTATTGCAATAGCTGTGAACAACTCTAGCCATTTATTATTTTTTTTCTAGGGGGTTGGGGGTGGGTTTAATGCTGATAAGTTTATAAACTTTACAGAGCTTTCAAGCAGGGTGAGACATGGGTTTCTCAAACGTGTCTTGTTGAAAATCATTAATTGTAGTGTGTATTTTGGTTGTAACGTATGTAAATTGTGTAATATTAAGATTATATCTTGTAAAATTAAATTCGTGCCAATCATTTGATATATAGGACTGATTAATTGATGTGATTATGATACAAGTTACTAAGTCTAAACTCATGTCTAATAGCGTTGAGTCGGAATTGTGAGCCCTATTATTAATCTTATAAATATTTGTCAAGCTCTTACTTCTTTTTATCTGCCCAAATAATTTATGGTCAACTCTCAAGTTTTGTCATGGCTTTAACAATGAGCATTTTTTTTTTGGTACATGATGTTCAAGTTGGAGCCGACTATTCTTTTGAACTTAGCAGCGACTGACCACCGTAATTCAATAGTGAGCATTGTCTCGTCAATTAGTTATATCAACTATGACATTTTTGGCCTGCATGTATGGCTCCATTAGGTAATCAAACATATAAACAAACATAGGTTAGATGGATTTTCCATTTGTCATTACGACTCAACCGAACACAAAACATAGGGCCTACCCAAGGAGGCAGTGGAGGGAATTGCTTAAAACCTTCGACCCTTTTTTCTAAATAAGGGGTGTCTAGGGCACCTCATTTTGTCATTTCGTCGTTGCCTATTTCTGTTAGGTTGAAGTGTTTGACTTTTTTTTTTTGCGCTTGCTCATGTTTCATTGATCTATTGCATGGTAAAGAAAAAAAAGTATAAAAGAATAGTAAACAGAGTACTTAATGGTATTTTTATAGGGATTCTATTTATTATTATATGATTCTTATTTAAAATTACCACCACAGTTCTTTTTTGGGCGACTGTAAAATGGACGGCCGCCTATAGGTGGTAAGGTTGGGTGGGCGGTAGTATTTAGATGATGGTCAATCTTCCTAATCGTGCGCAAGTCAAGTTTAAAATGCATGAAACTCATCACTTTTTTCCAGGGTTCTTACTGCTAGAAGGCGCAACTCACAACCCTTGTAATGAAGCAAGGAGTTTTTCAACTCATTTAAAGGAGAAGGACAAGAATAGATTCGACAGTAGAAGCAGGGTCATTTGCTAAATTTTTTTTCTTTCTTTTTCATCCTAAGGACAAACCATTTATGGTACCGTCAGGGCTATTTGTTTTCATCCCTATTGTTAAATAGCCTACTCAAACACGAGCATAAAGAAAGAAAATGAACACAATATTGCTGCAAAGGAGTCAAAACTCAATGACAAAAAGTTGTTTTGGATTGCTACTTAGGATTAGGAATGACCGAATTTTTCAACATTCCTTTTGTGGCCCTACTGAAGATTCAAAAGGGCAGTCATCTCCTTCGAGATAAGAGGCCACTAGACTAGTACCGAGATAAACGGTGTATCCTTTCCGTGCATCAAAAAACATTAGGGAGAATTACATTCGTATTTTTTGAGATTTATTACTTAATCATTTAAATTTTTTAACATTTGAAATATTACACAAAGATTTTTTGAGGTTTGTACACGTGTAATACTTAGACCCTATCTTTAATGTCCGTTAGTAAATTTATTAGTAAATTATACTCAGATTCCCTAAAATTTATAGGTATATAACACTTAGACTTATCAAGTTAAAAAAATTACACTTAAACCACTTATTAGTTATCGAATTTACGAAATCTATTAAATGATGAAATTATCTCAATAAAAGATAGAAAATATTATATCCATCATAAGTTTGACCCCTTATTTGGTTTTTTAGTTTTATTCCAATAGATAATATAATTGTATACTAATTATAATTTTTTTAAGAAAAAATTGAATTTTTATTTTTGATTTTCTTTCAATAAATGACATAATAAAATATGAATTTTAGTTGTAAAATTTAAAATATATAATATTCTATCTTTAATTGAAATATTTTTTGTCTAAACATAATATTTTAAACTTGAGGAGTTTAAATATTACATATCTACAAACTTCAAAAGGTTTTAGTGTAATTTACTAATGAATAGACTAACAGACATTGACAACAGAGATTATGCATGAACAAATTTCAAGAGATCTGTGTGTAATATGTTAAATGTCAAATAGTCTAATTAATAAATTGACAAACCTCGTAGAGAGAGTGAGTGTAATTCTCCCAAAACATTATTGAAAAACACAGTAGATGTTGATCATCCCACACATCGTGGCCACCCATTACGGACACAAATAGTTTTTGTAGTCTCTTGTATCTATTCTGATGGGTTAAGCCCAAATAGTCCAATTTATGTATTAAAGCCCAACCCCGGTTGAGGAGCCCAACCTCATTGTGAATCCACCAAGTCCAAGACAGACCAAGGCCGGTTAGACTTCTTGCTTAGCACGTCACCAAGAGGAAGCACGGGAAGCTTGAGGCCGGTTAGACTTCTTGCTTAGCACGTCACCAAGAGGAGAGCACGGGAAGCTTAAGGCCGGTTAGACTTCTTGCTTAGCACGTCACCAAGAGGAAGCACGGGAAGCTTGAGGCCGTTAGACTTCTTGCTTAGCACGTCACCAAGAGGAGAGCACGGGAAGCTTATCCACACCACCGAAGGAAGGAAACGGTCCAATCTTTGACCACGTTTCATGAAGAGCTCCCCAACCTCTTCCTTCCGTTGAGGATAAGTCGTGATCTCCACCAAAGATAATCTCTAAGCTGCGATAAAGAAGCCTTGAGGATATGTCATGATCTCCACAAGAATGATCTCTTATCTACTATAAAATGGCTCTAATCTGGGAGAGGAAGGACACATGCTCCATCAGAGACTTACAGAAGACGAACCGACTATCGGAGATTATTATTTTCTTTGATTCTCTATTTCCCCTCTCAAAGCTTGTATCTTCATTCTCCATACCTTTGAATCAATAAAATACCCGGCGACTGAAGCCATTGAAGAGTGGACGTAGGTCAAATTG